TATGTATATCAATCTATTAATTGCAAAGAACCGCTTAAAAGACCTAAAATAGCTGTGCCTTTAGAAACACTTCCGCTTTCATACTTGTATATAAGGAAGATTTTATGTGTATTTCTCAATAAACCATCATCTGTTGTTTTACTACGCAAATTTGAAGTAAATGCTAATAAGTCTTATCCTATGAATAATCTGATTTTTCTACCTACAAACAGGGAGTTATTGATGAAGCATGTCTGATCAAAATCAGCCTTTTAGATCTCCTGTGATGGTACTAGCCGTTACCTTTATTTTCTCTTCTTGTTGTGTGTATTCGATCCGTACTTTCATTACTCTATTATGTATGTTCTTGCTCGCGCACTTATTTCATTTTGTAACTACTATTAACTATGTCAATTATGATTTTCTTTTCGTTGTCATCGTTGAGTAAAATATATCAGTGAATCATCATTTTATGAAGTGCCATCTCATAGTAGCGCTTTGGATCGCATTCTGTTGCATCTCACTGTCGCCTGCCTTCTCTGCTTTGTCTGAATACGGCTAAACCCCTCTCAGACGATCGGTAAGAATTTTCTCCCAAAGTGATATTATAAATTAAACAAAAAAATAATGTGATTCCACTCCAATCACTTGTTTTATTCTTTGATCGTGAATTCTACTCAAAATCACAGTTTTACCACCAGAAATTGCCGAAAAAAAATATTTTGTTAAAGCAGACGACACCAAAAAAAGATGAAAAAGTTCTGAAAACTGTTTTGTCTTATAGCACTAATTATCAGGGAGTTTTTACTCTGCAGCAAATTCAATAGTTGATCATGCTTCATAATGTTGAATCAATTAAACTGATTATGTTCGATGAAACGTATACTTTGACAGCAAAATCATCCATCGTTGTAGAACATAAATCAACAAAATCTATATGAACTCACCAAACAACAGTAGCAAGTGTCTCTTTAATTAACCGATTAGAACAATGAAATACAGTTGGATAACTTCGCACTATTTAATCAATCAAACGAATGTAGAAGTCTATAATGATAAATTTTACTTGTATGGAACCATTTAACAGGACTATAGATGTTACAAAACATATGAAAGAAAATATAGAAAAAGAAACATCATAATCAATCACAACATAAACATTAACTTCTAAAACTCGTGTTATATTCATTCTAATAATAATTCAATGTGATGATATTATGAAATTAAATAACATAATGATGAAAATTAATAAAATAATAAAGTATCATTCATTGAGTTATTATCAACCATAAATGAGTTTTATTTCAAGTACATATTTACCTACTTATATAACTCATGTTTGTAGTTCTACTTAATATGCAATAAAATCTATAGTTTTGTTAACTGGTTGCAAATGATAATATAAGATCGAAAATTTCCATACAAATAAAATTTGTCACTATAGCCTTCTACATTCGTTTGATTGATTAGATATTGCAATAAGGGTGTGGGATGTGAGTGTGAGTTGTACATCAGTCCATATACATCCGCACTCATACGCACACTCCACATCGACACCCACCACCCTTCTCATCAAGACTAGCCATTACTGGAAATTTTAGCGTAAACGGACCATTCTAAGTAGTAAATTTTTTGTGAGCGGTACCCCTTAAATTTCATATCAATTTATTGGAAAATTATCTTTTCTTTCCGGATAAAATATCTAAAATAAAAATTAGTTTAAGAAAAAAGTTAAATGATAGAAGATCCGCTCTCGTACACTATGGTAAATATTCAAAAATGACGGACAATGCAGTTTTTTATTCTATTTTTTTGTAATCATAAAACTACATTTATCTATTTACAATTGATTTATTGTTCGAGCTATGACTCATAAAAGTTAAAGGTAAAAAATGAGAAAAAAAATCAAAAGAATATCTATTCTTGCGATAAAGAAAAAGAAAGAAGCGTTATGATAATATCACAGAACGATGCTATTTTTTTGATCTTGTCCTGTTTTTTTTTTCTTTACTATAAACTATTCAACCATGCTGGCACATGTGTATATTGTGTAGTTATTCGATAGAAATGATGCTGTTAGTTTTTTGTCATCGTTTCATTAATGAAAATAAAATGTGCCCTATAGAAATTGTGCACTATCAAAATAGACAAAAAAAAGATTTGTCATTTAGATAATTTCTTTATTAATTAGCGAAAAAAAATTTTAACTACCCTAAATTAGTTATGAATATTTAAACCTGAATAGTTATACTTATTGAGAATAAATGTTTTTTTCTTTTTGATAAACATCATTGCTCCAAATATGACTTTTAGGCTTTTTTTCTATAATGACTGAGACTATTTTTAACGAAAAGATAGTTTATTTTTTCTGTGTTGAGTGTTGATTCAAGCAGATTTCGTCATATGCCATCAAAAACGAGTGACAAGGAAAAGAGCGTAGACATATATTATATATACGAATGTTCACAACACAAAAAAGAAAAGTTACAAAAATAATAATAACATATGTTCTCTTGCTTGATCTCATTTGATATGTAGTGTATCTAATACATTCACTTACAAAATGAAAATAAGACATATTTAAATACAATTATTAATAATGAGAATAAATCAATCAAGTATGCTTGTTTTGCTATTATATGACTAATCAAAAAACGTGTGTTTTATAGAAGAGAAATATAAATCATACATTTTCAAAATTACTAACTATTATAAAACATAACTTGTTGATAACATTTGTTACCTTATCAATCAATAAAAACATATAAGTATATGAAACAAAGTTAGCAATCGTCATACCGCGTTAAAGTAAGGTGATTATATTCGTTATTAATTAGCTTCATTTTTAAGTATAAAATTGGAATGATTCAAAATAAATATCATCCTTGGTAAAAACATTTGAAAACTATTATATATTACTATGTGCACAGTAATTGTTTAATTTTTATAGAGAGATAAAATATTATTGTCTCACTATTACTATTAAACTTTAAGATATAACCTTCTTCAATTTTGTATTTCTTTCTTGTTAATTGTTGTATCCATTGTTCTGAAAAAAATATACTAATGATTTATATCCCTATAGAGTTTTCATTCACATAATCACTTCGATCACTAATGCAAGAAAATTTTTCTAATCATTGAAAGATCTAGTAAAAACTGTTTTAGGTTTGTTCAGAGATTTCTTCAAATGTTTTACAGCCAGATACAGTTCAATATTTCTAGAGCTTACTAGTATATGAACCATTATCATGTGTCGAAGATTTTCCTGTTTACTAAACTTTACAGTTACTATATTAATAACTGAATTATACGGATTGTTTAATATTCTACCCATTTGTTTTCCTGAGTACAAAAATGTGATCGAATAAAACAATATCTAAATCAAATTTGTTAGCAAAAACCAATCACTTTTTTTGAAAGTATAGGAGGTAAGATAAAAAGAAAAACTTGTAAGAAAGTATGTCTTGTCACATTCTTACTCAAACTGTATTCCATGTAGATAACATTTTCAATTTTTATTAAATTTCAAGCTTGTTAATAATCCACATTTCATATAGACTGGATCTTTTGTGTGTTTATTGAGAAGCAAGTTTAATGAAATCTTCAATCAAATATTTCAAATGAAAAAGAAAACAAACTTTCTGAATATTTATTCATTTTTTTTTCTTCTAGAAAATACAGAAGCAATGATTTGTAAAGTGACTTAAAAGAAAACTATATAGCTTAATAGTAGATTTTTAGTACAGACGAATTAAAATTCTATGGATAATTATGATATCTCAATTCAACACTCAGATGCTGAACAACATTCTAGCAACAGCAATCAGCAACATCAAAGCTCTACCGAGAATCCAGTGAACTTAGGAAGACGTTTCAAAGTGTTTAATAAAGTGAAGAATTTTTCGATGGCTACAACATTTTTGTAAATCTTTTTCTTTTCTTTACAACCGTCATAATATATTTAAATTTTACATTAGGAAATATGTTCATAGGTTAAGACACCGATCTTTCATAGCTACAGGTGCAGTCTCTCTCTTCACAAGTGTGGTAATAACTGCTGGTGTATTAGTAGTTTGTCTGACTTCACCAAAAGCAATAAGTATGTTCTTTTTTTTCCTTCACACCTACACCCTATTATATAAACAAATTCAAATCACATTTTTTAAAAAACTCAGCCGAATATATGCCTTTGAAGTACTTGTAAGTATCAGTGTTAGAAATGTATTTTCTTTATTTACTCTGTGTAAAAAATATCTCTATGGTCCAACATCTAAATATTTCATATAATATTTTTCTTTTCAGTCTTAATAATAGTATGATAAAACAATAAAAGTATCACATAATGAACTATCGATGTGCATTTATTATATTACTCAATTACAGTTCGAAACTTTTATAATTGAATTAAATTTTTCGCTAAGTATAGTTTACAAAAGAAATCGAGAGAAGATTGGGAAGAGATTCAACTTAAACCTGTAGTTTACGATACTCTAGAGATTTCACGCATACGATTTCTTCTTTCTCAAGATAATGAGTCTTTTTCACAAATTCTATAGTAGATGGAAGAAAGTGGACGGAAAAACAATCTGATTATTGTTTTCAGCTTACCCTATTTGAGTTCCAGTAAATCAGAAAGAATTCTATGAAAAAGGATCAGTATCGATCAGATCCGAGTGCAGTACTGCAAAAACTTAGATGATCACTATAGAATTCATGAAGATCCGATATAACTCAACGTGCGATGGTTGGATCTCGGCAATTGACCAATTTTTTCATCAATTGTCTTCGTTCATTTAGTGAAAAAGTGTGATTTGCAGTTTCTGCCAACAGTTCGAAACCTAGTTGAATATAATTATGGTCCTCGTTCTGTTGCCGTTGGCTATTTTAACAATGACACTTGGTTGGATATAGTTGTTGCCAATCGCGCCGCCAACAGTATATCTGTATTTCTTGGATATGGCGATAGTACTTTCACAACTCGTATGATACATCTGATCGATCCAAATTCTGCTCCATACATGGTTGCAGTTGGTGATTTCAACAACGATCATCGGCAGGATATAGCTGTTGCAAATTTTGGTACCAATAGCATAGGTATATTCTTGGGATTTGGAAATAGCTCTTTTGCTAATGAAACATTGGTATCGACTACATCATCTCATCCACTCTATATACATTTAGTTGATCTCAATAATGATACATTACTTGATCTTATTACTGCTAATTATGGTACTGACAGTATTAGTGTATTCTTTGGATACGGGAACGGAAGCTTTTCATGTCCGATAACATATTTTACAGGTTATGATTCTTTACCATTTTCAGTCGTAGCTGGAGATTTTAACAATGACTATCAGTTGGATCTTGCCATCGCCAATTATGGTACAAGTACTGTCGATATACTTCTTGCCAATGGTACTGGAAATTTTCTATATCATAAGAAATTTTCAACTGGTATCAACTCTCATCCGTACTCGATTGTTCTGAGCCATTTTAACGATGATACTTTTCTGGATATTGCCGTCGCTAACTATGGAACTCAGAATGTAGGTGTACTTCTAGGTACGGGCAACGGAAGTTTTGCAAGTCAAACTACATATTCGCTTGGTACTGCGTCTCCATATTCAATTGGCGTTGGGGATTTCAATAAAGATACACGATTGGATGTCGTCATAACTAATAGAGGCTCTAATAACATAGGTGTACTACTGGGACATCGTAATGGATCTTTTTCTAAAGCAACATTATATTCAACTGGATCGCTATCATCGATCTCAGTCGATGTTGGTGACTTCAACAATGACAATCTATTAGACATTGCTGTTATCAGTAATGATACTAGCAGTATAAGTATTCTCTTTGGTTATGACGAAGGTTTTCAAGCTCCAATCATTAGTGCAATAGGCTCTAGTGTCAATTCTGTAGTTGTTGGTGATTTTAATAACGATGCTCAACTAGATATCGTTGTACTTAATGACAATGATATGCATGTCAGTTTATTTCTTGGATATGGCAATGGCTCTTTTGCAAATCAAACGACTTATCCAACTAAGATTTGGCCAACGGATATAGTTGTCGGTGATTTCAATCACGATACTCACTTGGATATCGTCGTCGTTAATTTTAATGATGCCAGTCTAACTATACTTCTAGGATTTGGTAATGGCTCCTTTGATAGTGAAATCACATATTCAACTGGCTCTAATCCATCTTTTGTAGCTGTCGGAGATTTCAACAATGATAATGAACTTGATATCGCCGTCATTGATGCTAATGACAATCATATCAGTATACTTCTCAGCTATGGCAACTGTTCTTTTTCGAATGCAACAACGTATGCAATTGGTTCTTCTCCACAATCTGTGACTGTTGCTGACTTCAACAATGATAATCGGTTGGATATTGCTCTGATTGATGCTAATGACAGCACTATAGGTGTCTTTCTGGGATATGGCAACGGTTCTTTTCTGAATCAAATAACCTCTTCAATTAGTTCTAACCCAGAATTTTTAGCTGTTGGTGATTTCAACAACGATAATCAACTGGATATCGTCGTGGGAAATACTCTTGACACCAATATTCATATTTTTCTTGGATATGCCAATGGTTCTTTTGGAAATTCAATCAAGTATCACATTGGTTTCTCTCTGTTTCATATAGCTGTTGGTGATATGAACAACGATACTCAACTGGATATCGTCGTTACTCTTTCTATTGAAAACAACGTAGGTGTGCTTCTTGGATATGGCACTGCCTCTTTTGCAAACCTAGTCAAGTACTCAACTGGCTCCTCTCCATTCTATGTAACTGTTGCTGATTTCAACAATGATACGCGCTTGGATATCATCGTCGCTAGTTCTGCTGAGAATAATGTGGGTGTGTTGCTTCATTATGCCAGAGCATCTTTAGGAAAGGAAATAAGATTTGCATCTGGTATTGGTGCTCGTCTACAAGATGTCGCCATTGATGATTTCAACAACGACACAATACTAGATATTGTCGTTGTTAATCGTGGTACTAATAATATAGGAGTGTTTCTCGGATATGGTAACGGATCTTTCCTAGAGCAAGTGACATATTCAACAGGCTCAAATTCTAATCCATATTCCATTACCGTTGGCGATTTTAATAAGGACGATCATCTCGATTTTGCAGTGGCCAATTCTGGAACTAACTATATTGATATACTTCTTGGAAGTGGAAACGGAGCATTTGCACGTCAGATACCTTATGGACGTCATTTGAATTTCGTTCCCATTGTTGTTGCTGCGGGGGATTTCAACAAAGATAGACAATCAGACATTGTTGTCGCATATAATGACTCCGAAGATGTTGATGTATTTTTTGCATATAATACAGGAACTTTTAAAAATCAAGCAATCTATTCGACTGATTCTTTTCCATCTTTGTTGGCTGTTGGCGATTTTAATAAAGACATGCGACTTGATATTGTCGTTGTTAATATGTATGGCCACCATGTGAGCATATTTCTTGGTTACGGCAATGGGTCTTTTGCAGATCAAATCATATACCCACTGGATATTTTGCCATTTGATATCAGTGTTGGTGATTTCAACAACGACGATGAACTGGATGTTATTATCACTTATTCCGAGAACAGTTCTGTTGGCGTACTTTTTGGATACGGCAATGGTTCTTTTACAAATCAAACGATGTACTCAACTGACATTTGGCCATCTAATATAGCTGTCGGTGATTTCAATCACGACTCTCGATTGGATATCGTCGTCATTAATTCTGATAACGCTACTCTGAGTATACTTCTAGGATTTGGTAATGGCTCTTTTACAAATCAAATTACATATTCAACTGGCTCTAGTCCATCTTTTGTTACTGTTGGAGATTTTAACAATGACAATCAACTTGATATCGTATTCGTTAATTCTAATGATCATAATATCAGTGTAATTCTCGGCTACGGCAATGGCTATTTTTCGAATGCAACATCGTATGCAACTGGTTATTCGCCACATTCTGTGACTGTTGCTGACTTCAACAATGACAATCGACTGGATATTGCTGTGGATGATGCTAATGGCAGCACTGTAAGCGTCTTTCTGGGATATGGCAACGGTTCTTTTGCAAATCGAATAACGTCTCCAACTCATTCTTACTCAGTGTCTGTAAAAGTTGCTGACTTCAACAAGGATACTTGCATGGATCTCGTCGTCCTTAATTATAATGATAAGAATGTAGGTATACTTCTTGGATACGGTAACGGTTCTTTTGCAGATCCATTGACCTTTTCAACTGGATCTTCTTCTGTATCTATAGCTGTCGGTGATTTCAACAACGATACTCAACCGGATATCGTCGTTGCGAATTTTTATGACAATAATATCTGTGTATTTGTCGGAGACTTTAACATAGTTTTTATATACCATACAACACTCACAACTGGTAAAGGGTCTCTTCCACGATCATTCATCATTGATGATTTTAACAATGATACTCATATGGACATCGGCGTCGCAAATTCAGGCACTAATAATGTGGGTATTTTTCTTGGATATAGTAATGGCTATTTTACAGATCAAACGATATATCCATCTGGCTCTTCTCCATGGTCTATAGCTGCGGGTGATTTCAACAATGATACTCGACTGGATATAGTTGTGACTAATTTTGATGACAGCAATATAGGTGTACTTCTCGGATATGGTAATGGCTCCTTTGCAAACCAAACAACATATTCAACTGGCTTCCATTCTCAACCATATTCAGTCGCTGTTGGTGATGTCAACAATGATACTTTACTGGACATCATCGTCACTAATCATGATGCCAACAACGTTGTTGTATTTCTTGGATATGGCAATGGGTCATTTACAGATCCAAAAGTGTTTTCAGTCGATTTCGAATCTTTCCCATCTTACCTTGTTCTCGGTGATTTCAATAATGATAAAAGACTGGATTTTATTGTCGCCAACGACGGTAGTGACAGTTTAAAAGTTATGTTGCAGACTTGCTAATTCATTTATCTAAGCTTCAATGTTACTTTTATTTATTTTAGTAGTTACAACATTCACTTGGTGATAGTAATATTTCTTGTAAATTGTTTTGTTTTGGTCGGTTAGGATGTGGGTGTGGGTATGTGTGTGACTATACGTGTGAATCTCTTTTTATCGACATCCACACCCACACCCTTCTCTTTTATCTAAAACTATGTCCAGAAACAAATTCCAGTAGATCTTTAACACTTGGTTCTTTTCAACACATGACCAATACAATTAACTTGATGCTGTGTGAAACAACAATTCAATTCTTTCTTTTTTCGGAGCATTCCTTGTTTCACTTATGAGCAGTCTGAATGACTATTCGCATCGACATTGATGTCTATCGGACGGATCGATAACCGTGAATTTAAATTAAATTACAGAACTTTTCACATAAAAATATGGGTTTCTCTAAGGTCTTCTCAGGTTTCAAAAATATTATTTCACTTTAGGACATTGCTCGTAAACGAAGCGAATTCATGTTTATTCGACTCCGCTACAGCGCTTTTTCAAGGTCTTGCAAAGTTTTTCAGACAACCAGATCTTGCGCAGAAGGCTGGATGCACCGACGTCTTCGAGGGTGAGAGAACGAATAATAAAAATAAAAAAACAGTTATATAAAATTGAAGAAGCGTATAAAAAAATACGAAATCTTTTCTGAAACTTTTGAAAAAAATTTTATCATGTACAACAAAGTGCAAAAATAAAGAAAGAGCACAGTTTTTTGTCAATATCACAGAAGCGACCTTTTCTTTTCACTCATTTACGACTTTATAGAATTTCTTTCGAAATGTATAAAACTTGAATATTATTTAAGTTACACAGAGTCGTGTCCTCCGATCAGAAATGCCAGTACCAATGCAATTAAACTGAATATCCATCCGATTAGGCCTAATGCTGAAGCTGCTCCCATTGTCCAACCGTCACCAATGAACGCACTCATTCCGATAGCCCAACCGATTAATCCAAACAGAAAAGTGACGAGAGCTGAATGAGAAAAAACCGAAGAAGATAATCAGCATTTGAAACAATCTAGAGCGAGTTCTTTAAAAGTCTTACTCATAGCTATTGTTGCATAATATATAGCCTTCGGATATGATCGAAATGCAATATAAAGAAGTAGAAGAGCACCAACAACTGTAGTCAAAAATAAAATGAAAAAATTTCGTAGAAACTTTTTTGTTAAAGAGCTAATTTTTATGTTCAAACGCTTACATGCTGCTATTGTTGCCATTATGAAAAATGCTCGTGCAGCTTTGATCTTATTACAGATATCCACTCCTTGACAATTTTCAGACAAATTATCAGTCCATAATCCACGCTTAGCAGTTACACTTATGCCACCCGCTGACCCCTTCGAAACGCCATAACCCGAATCAGCCTGTGCAACTATATAGAATACGAATGCTATTAGCCTAAAATAGAATATAGAAATAAATCTATCATCGAATTTTAAAGCTGCATGTCAATCCTATTTCCACAGAATGTATTTTGAGTAAATTAACATCTCAGCACGCAAATTTGTAATCGGAAAGATCTACATGTCTGTAAAATGGTCAGATATCGGTTTACAGAATACGATTGTGCTTGCCTCTTTTAAGTGTTTTACCATCAATCATTTTTCAAGCATCCTCCGTAATTTTTACTTACAATAGTACACCAGCAGCTGCACTAAACATCAGCTGTTTCGATGCCATTTTCGATCCTTTTACTAGTCAAACGTATCTAATCTAAAAGATATATATTATCACAAAAACAACAACAGCTTGTAGGTAATATTTCTATCATTTCTCATTTTCATTTTTGAGAAAAATGATAAAAGAAAAAAATAGGTTTTTGTAAAGCCAGAGAATATTCGCGTACAGTTTGACGTTTATGGCAAGGTCCCTCGGGCTCAGTCCTTCTGACGACCTATAAATATAATTTTCTCTATTAGAAGTCCTCTGTAAAGAGAAATAATCAGTCGCTGAATATATTTTCTATCACAAAGACCCTCTACGGCTGTTTTCAGCTTCTCCTCTTCTCATAGTACTCTAATGAATTTTATTCAAAAGAAGAAAAATCAGAAAATGACAAAGCCGCTTATTAGCTAGGTTCACACTTACATTCTTCTTTAAAGAGTTTTTAAAGGCATTAAATAGGGAAAAAGGAGAGTCAGGTAAATATCAAACTGTCCAAATATTCGACTTTTGATATCAAAAATGATAGATCAGGATTCTTGCAAAATATGAAGAAGAAGATTCACTTAAAAATAAAAAACCATAATGAGCACTCATCATTTCAACGAAAGAACGAAAGTTTTCCGAGTTTCTAGACAACTTTTCAAACATTAACTCACGGAATAAGTTAGTATAGGACCTACTCACTTATCAATCACGAAAAGCAAAAAATAATGGACACCAGAAAAGAGAAGGAAAGAGAGTCAGAATGAAAGAATGTTGATACAGTCTGCATTTTTCGTAAAAAAAGAAAGTAGAGAACAAACCAGAGATTAAAAAAAAATGAAACATCAAATCAATAAAAAAGAATGTGACAAATCAGAAGAAGAACTAGTATTCCATAATCTTAAATTTAGGCAGCTTATTTTGAAGACAAAAGTTCACTCAATTCTGCTTGTGAGCACTTTTTCGCTAATAAAGAAAACCAATCAATTAAGTCATGAATGGACTATTTCAAACATAAACCATCGATTTTCAGCCCAAGTATATGAGTCTTGGTGGAAATCAAATTTCTTAGTCTAGTAGAAAATAACTCTCCAAAACGAAAAGCGCGAAAGACTCCTTTTAATTGTGTTTTAGGTCGATCTTTAATTACTTATCGAAGTGAAAGTAATACTCTTGAATTTTTAGAGCACAAGAAGAAGAAATTCTCGCTGTGTTGCAGTATCCTTAAAGTCACGTTTTTGATCAGTTTTATGTCAATTTAGGCGGGTATTGATATTTCTAATTACAAAATAGTCATGCAGAAAAGTTCTCTTACGCTCATCGTCTCTCTTGTCGTAAAAAGGCATTTGATGCGCATTCTTATGTACCTACGATCTTGATATAGATGACATAGAAGTTAAGAAAGTTGAAATAACTGAAGAAAGCAATTCTTTCTCTAACCTAAGCTTTCTTATTATAAAAGCGTATAGTATGATATTAAAAATGCACTTTCGAGTGTATTTATATCAATGCTCTGTTCTCACCCCATCAGCAGTATTATAATTTTATATCATGTTTATTACACAGCAACAATATTATGAAACATTATACCTTGTTAACTTCTAACAAAACCCCCTTTATTTTAGTTTTACTTTGTTATTGCCCTCTTTCTCTCACTTATAATACTTCTTACACTCACTTATTTATTCTCCCCCACTTCTTTTTTCTTTCTGATCATAAAAAGTAAATATATCAAGAAAATAGATCTATTTCAGTTGTTCTAATCAAAAGTCCATTTCTAAACGTATTTCTAAAAACCCATGAGAGAGACAGAATTCTTTCTCAGGAAAAAAAGAGAAGTACTTCTCGTAGAAGGGAAAAAATCAATAATTAACACGTGGCCAAAGCACGTTTGTAAGATCACGTTTCTAATCAAGAAATGGTGAGCAGTTCTCTTAAAGGTGAAAAGGCTGAGAGCTCAATATTCAACTCCTTTATTAGACTTACGCTGTAGATTTCACAGAAAAGTCTCAGCTACACTGCTTCTTCTTCATCATTTTTTCTTATGTGAAATAACTTCAACTCCTATTTATGTAAGATAAAAAAAGAAGTTGACTAAAAAGTTTATATTTGATCAAGTTAATATTTCATCTTCCTTTTTTCTCTCTCTCTTCTCTTCAATATTATGCATCGTCTTCACTATTCTATCTCAGAGAGAGAGAGAAACAAAAAAAGTTCTTGCAGCTTTTCTCTCTCTTTCTGAATGAGATCATAAACTATAGTAGCAGCAGTGGATTTGATATATGTATGTCTGAAATTCAGGGTGTATAACAGAAAGAATAAGAATTTTATTTTTTTCTTCCTTCTGTAGCGATAAACAGAAGAAAGGAAAGAAAGAAGAAAAAGTGAAATATTATCGTAAAACAATTGAGTAGAGAGAAAAGAATATAAGAACTTCATAATTAAGAACGAATATGCACACAGATGTTCAAGCGTTCTAAAGGTCGGCGACAGAAGAGAACAACTTTGGTGTATGTGGTAGATCTAGGGCTGAGACGAACACTGTTCTGTAGAAAAAATTAGAGTCAAAAGAATAGTGAGAAACGTGAAAAAGTGAGGGTTTCAAGAGTTTTCGAAGTTTGTGGATGAATATATAACGTTTCTGCAACTTTGTAAACGAAGAAACAGTCACTTTGGAGATTTCGAATGTGTTTCAAAAAATTTTGTGATCCTTTGAGTGAAAACCACTCGATTTCGCAGTTTTAAAGAGATACCGAGGTGTTTTTAATGAAAATTGACGTTTTTTAACAAAAAAAAAATGGTTTATACCTTTTTCCAAAAACATTTCATGTAAGGCATTTTCTGTTTTTTAAAGAAACATTAGTAAACGTGTTTTACCGTCATCTCATATTAAAAACATTTTAGCACCCTTTCAAAAGCTGAGAGACTCCTTTGTTTTCTCTCAAAAAAACCTGCATAGAAGCCTTAAAATGCGCTTGAAAATCGCTAAAAACGCCTATTTTTCGTTCAAAAAGTTACAAAAATGCATGTAATCTGTAGATTCTTGCGGTTTTGCACACCTAATTGTTTTATCAAATGATAAAAGCTTTAAATGAATCTGCATGGATGACTGTAACTCCAGAAAGAAAGGTTTGTGACTTCACGAAATCATTTTTTTTCTAAAGTTAATCGGCTAGGATTCCAATATTTTTGAACTTTTGAACGAATTTAAGCGTTTAATAACCTGATTCGAGTCAGAAAGACGAGACAGTTCTCTAATAATCACAACAAACCATTTAAAATGGTTAAAACATTTTTTATCAAGATACTTTTGAGTAGATCCATTAATATTTCAACGATCTTTATACCATTATTTTTATTAACGATTTTTATAGAATTTTGTCTATGAAAACCTTGCTGTTTCAGAAGACGTTTCCTCGATGGGGTGGGGGGTGGGTGGGTGGATTTTTAGTAAAGTAGTGATGGTCCACCATGAAGCATAACTACTTTTATAGAAACATGATTACTTTCATAAAAAACTTTAAATGAGGAAGACTTTTATTTAAAAAAGTTATTAGATGTGTATCAATCCTGTATAACCACCCTGTAGCTCCACTCCACATTTTTAGCGTATACAACGACTTTTATAAAAATTTTCATGCGGGTCTATGCACATTATCACAGATTGGAGATACGACTACAACGTAACATAATTGAAGGTCCCATTTTCTAGGGTGTGGATGTGCGTCCGGATCTGGATGTGGAGGTTGGAGTGGCTGAAGAGTAGACCCACAACCTCATTCCCATCCCACCCATGTACCCACACCCCTTCCACACTTAAACCCACAGCCACAACTACCACATTCACACCCACATTCTCCTTGACATTTTCTCAATCAATCTAAGTTGAAGTCTACATGAAGGTGTAGGTAGAGGTGTAAGCCGATGAGCTGACCGGCGGCGGCGCCATTAAAAAAAATTTTTTTTCAAAAGCTCGGCGGCGCAGATTTGAATTACT